GCGGGAGGACCCAGAGAGAGAGACAGAGACTTGGAGAGATAGGGGGTGGGGGAGGAGACCCAGAGAGAAAACAGCCCCAAAGAGAACACAGATACATGGGGAGGGGGGGGGACAGGGACCCAGAGAGAGCCACAACAGAGAGGGATAGGGACTCCAAGGGGACAGAGCAAGGAGGACAGGGACCCAGAGAAGGGCACACAGATCCAGAAGGGGGAGGACAGAGACAGAGAGAGATAAGGAGGCCGATCTCAGAGAAGGGGCCAGAGACAAGGAGGACATGCAGAGAGCCCCAGGTGGGGACACAGATGAAGAAGGAGGGGGAGGCTTGGGTCTGGGGAAGCCCAATAGGACATGGAGGACTCACCCAGGCGCCCGAAGCCCACCACCCCGACCCGCCGGGGCCCGGAGTCCAGAGCCATGTCTGGGGCCTGGTGTCCGTGCTGGCCGCTACTCTATCACCCCCCCACCCCCCCACCTCTGTGGACAGCAGTTAACCTTTGGACATTTGACCTTTGGGCCTCCTCTCCAGCACCTTCTGGTCACAGTAGCCCAGAGCAGGGAGAGCGAATTTGCAGGGGGGTGTCGGGGTGTCCGTGAGGACCCTTCTCTGGGCTACAGAGGGACTGGGGTGTGCTGGGATGGGGACTCTCGGTTCCCCAACCCCTGGCTCCGGCTCTCCACTCTATAGGGGGCTGGCTTCGCCTGCCTCAAGCCCTGCCCACCCTCCTCTTGCCACGGTGGAAAATTTCCTCTGCAGTCCCCGGTCCCCTCCCCTTTTCGGTGCCTGGCCAGGTTGCCATGGAAACCGCATCTAGCTTGGGGTGGGGGTGGAGAGGGCTGGAAGTGAGCATGAGGCTCTGGGGAGGGGACAGAGGGTGGGGGAACTCTGGTTGGTCGGCTCTCCCCTCACTCCGGGTCTTCCTCTGTCTTGGCACCGTTGTGCTACTTGTCCACAAAATAACAAACACAATAGGGGGAAAAAAAACACCCCCAAACCCCAAACCCATCACTTTGGGCTCTTGGCGACCCGGTCCAGTCCCCCGCCCTCTCAGTCCTTGCTGCGGTTCTCTCTCCCCATCTCTCTCTTATCTCTGGCTCCCTCTCTTGTGCTCCCTGCCCCCCTCCGCGTCTCTTCCTGGCCTGGCTTCCTGCCACCCTGTCTGCAGCCTGGCTGCAGGCCTGTCTCCCCCTCACTCCAGCGCCCTGGCCCTCAGGTGGCCGTCTCCAGCTGACCATCTCGTTGGGCTCCGCAGCTGGTCCTCCCCACACCCCTGCCTCAATGGGCCCACATCCTGCCCCACCCCCATCCTCTCCACGTCCTTGGTGCCACCTTGACTTTGCACCTTTCACTGAAGCCCGCCCAAGGCACCAGCTCCCCGCCACACACACACACACACCTTCCAGTGCTGCCTCCTCGCCCCCATGCCCGTCCCACCCCACCCCAGACTTCCTGGGGCCCGGGACAAAGCCCGAGGCCCGGAGAGTCCCCGAGTGCCCTCCAAGACGCGCCCTGCCAGCCCCCTGCGCTTTGCTGGTGCCTGGCACGGGAAATGGTGGTGGCTGCAGCAGCCCCGCGCCCTACCCCCAACCACCACCTGGTCCGCGCTGCAGCGTTTCCATGGCAACCAGGATCTGCGCCGAAAGGGACCGGGAGGGAAAGAGACCATGAAAGGGAGTGGGGGTGCTGGGGGGGACGCCCGGAGGTCCAAGGCGATGGAAGCAGACAGTGGCAGACTGCTGGGGCTGGAGACCCCAGACCCAAGGGAGAATATGCTGTCCCAGGTGGGGACAGGGCCAGCCAGGGAGGAAGAGCAGGCCTCCCCAAGTTCACCAGCCTCCTTGCCCACTCGTTTCCTAGCGAGGTTGTCACTTGAGGGGTTGGGGTGTGTGTCCTGCAGTGTCTGTCCGGAAACAGGAGCAAGAGAGCCTAGAAGAGGTGCCTCCCCCGCGAGGTGCCCGGCTGTCAGGTCCTGCCGCCTCTGGTGGCCCTGGCATCCTCACCCCCTGCCTCTCAGGACCCGCAGTTGGCACGTGCGCTCTGCGGCTGGTATGGCGTAGGTGCCTCCACCTCCTGCAGCTTCCTCACCCCCGCCCCCAGCAGCTTCCTCTGGCTGAGGGCTCTGTCCTTGCGGGCCCCCTGGGGACCTTGGGGGGTGCACACGTCCCCTCTGCTCGTCATGCCTGAGCTCTGGGCATGGGCCACACCCCTCCTGCCTCTCCATTCCATGCCAAACTAGCTTCTCTCTCTGGAGCTGGCAGCTGGTGTGTCCGCCACACCCAACCTCCAGGCAACCCCCCTTTCCACCGCAACGGTGTTTGGAGCGGCTTGGGGGGGCCCTGGTCCAGACCCCCTCGATTTCCTCTGCCCCAAGCCTCCACCCCCCACAGATCATCAAAACGGTTGGCAGGGAGACCGGGCACAGTGGTGAAAGCGCTGGACAGCGAACCCAAAGCTTGGGTGCCTGCCTTTCACCACAGTTCTGGCTCTGCCCCATGAGGTCACCGCTAGGAGTCAGAATGGGTTCAATGGGCAGTGGGTCACCTTAACAAAGCCATGGTGGCGCACTAGTTAAGCGCTCAGCTGTTTACCTAAAAGTGTGTGGGGGGTTCGGGGAGGGGTGGGTACAACCCACACTGACTCCCGGATGAAGAAAAGACCACGCGGCCCTCCCACTTCTGTAAAAGGTACAGCCGCAGGTCTATGGCAGCAGCTCTACTCCCGCCCCGTAGGGTCCTTCTGCGTGGGAATGAGGCTGCCCACCACAAGGTCAACAGTTAGAAACCACCCTTGACTTCCTGGGTTCACGGGAGAAAGACCAGGCTTCCGGTTCAGTAAGGATGTCAAGCCTTGGAAACCCACAGGGGCAGTTCTATCTTGTCCTATAAGCTGGGGGCCGGAATTCATGTCACCAACAATCTTGAATGATCGCCCAGTCTTTCTTCCGCCGTACCTTACCCCTGGGTGGTTTTGACCAACTTTTGGTTCATAGCTGAGCAAAATCTCTCCCTCCTTGGGGGAGGGGGTGGGGCTGAGTCCCCTGAGCTAGTGAGTGATGGAGGGGACCTTCCTGACAGGGGGGTGGGGGGAGGGTGTTACCAAGGCCTACCTGTCCATCTTCTCGCCTTCTCCCCACCCCAGGGTTCCCCGTCTGAGTTCCCCAGCCCCCATCCTAGGGTTTCCCATGTGAGTTCCCCGGCCTCTCACCCCACCTCCACCTTTCTTTTTCTCCCTCCACTCCAGCTTTTCAGAATCCTTGCAAAAACAGGCTTCGTAGCTTTTTCCATCTTTTTTTGTTTGTTTGTTTTTGTTGTTTTTTTTAAAGTAATTACAGAGCAGGTAGTCATAGACGCAAACCTCCCTTCGGTATCAAAAGAGTCTGTGGGGGGTGGGGGGGCGGGGAGAGGGCGACGGAAAGGGGAGGTAGGGGAGAGAGGATGACTGTCCCCCCTCAGTCAAGGGGGATGAGGGTTGAAGTGGAGCTTATCGAACAGGGGGGAGGGCAGGGATGGGGTGTCAGGAGCGGAGTGTCGGGGAGGCTTCTCAGACGAAGAGTTCAGTCTTAGGTTTCCAGGGCCCGGTTTTGTTTTGTTTTTTCGGTGGGGTGGGGACAGGTGGATGGGGAGGGGCTTTGAACTGGAAAGCAAAAAAAAAAAAAGAACCATAAAATTCGGGTGACCTTGAGAAGGCGGGCTGGGTGGTGAGGGTATAGAACACCCCTCCTAAAGGCAGGGGGCCCCTTCCCCGCAGGCTGGTGGGGGGGATGGAGGAGATGCACCCCTCCCCTGCCTCACCCCAAGTTCTGGTCCTTCTCCTGAATGGCTGGGTCGAAGCCTCAGGAGTCCAGGTGCGGCTGGGGCTGGGGCTGGGTCCCCCCCCTCGCGGGTCCAGAAGAAGGAGGGGCCACGGAGGCAGCCCCCAGCCCCCGGCAACCCCCTCCCCCCGCCGGAGTCTGGCCCCCACCCACGGGGCCTTCAGATCTGCGTCTCCTGCACGTTCTCCTTGGAGCCGCTCTTGAACAAAAGAGGTTCATGGATGGAGTTGAGGCCCGGCGGGCCCTTGCCCCCGCAGCCCCCGCCCCCGGGGTTGCCGCCGTAGTGGGCCTTGAAGGCGGCCGCCACGTAATGGTGGTGGTTGAGGTGGTCGCGCTCCAGGGCGGGCAGGGCCAGGTGGCTGTCCCCACCCACGCCGCCGCCGCCGCCCACGGTCACGGCCGAGGCGGCCACGGACACGGCCGAGGCGGCGGGCAGCTCGTCCTCCACGTTGATGATCTCCACGGTGCGCGTGGGCCCGTGGTGCTTGTGCAGCTGGTGCTGTTTGCGCAGCTTGTAAAAGGCCACCAGCATCACGGCCGCCATGAAGGTGATGGCGACGAAGCAGCCGATGATGATCTTGGTGGTCTTCATGACGTCGTCCAGGTCCTTGAGGGCGTTCTCCGTCACGTCCGTGATGGGCACGGTGAACGCCTTCTCCGTGGGCCGCGAGGAGCGCGGCGCGGGCGCCGTGG